TTCTAGGTTTATACCTGAAGGACTTAAAATCAGCAGACTATTGTGACATGGCCATATCAATGTTTATAGTAGCCTAATTCATAATAGCTAAGCTATGGAACAAACTTAGGTGCCCTTCAACAGATGAAAGTATAAAGAAAATGTGGTACATACACGATGGAATGTTACTCAGCATTAAAAGAGAAAAAATCATGGCATTTGCAAGTAAATGGATGGAGTTGGATAATATCATGATAAGTGAAATAAGCCAATCCCAAAAAAAACAAAGGCTGAATGTTCTGACATGTAGATGCTGACTCTCTCAATAGGGTGGTGGGAAGGAGTGGAGGTTCAGCAGATTGTATGGGGTGGAGAGAGGAAGGATGGGAATAAGAAATAAATACAATGAATCTGACATAATTTTCCTATGTTCATGTATGAATACAACTCCACAATATGTACAACCACAAAAATGGAAAGTTATACTCCATGTATATATGATATATCAAAATATATTCTACTGTCATGTATAACTAAAAAGAACAAATTAAATTTTTTTTAAAAAATCTAGCTAGAGCAATCAAATAAGAGAAGAAAAATGAGGCTAAGGCTAGGACTCAGTAGCAGAGCACTTGCCTAGCATACATGAGGCACTGGGCTTGATCCTCAGCACCCCACATAAAAAATAAATAAATAAAATAATGACATTCTGTCCATCTACAATTACAAAAAAAAGTTTTAAAAAAAAGAGAAGGAAATTTAACAGAAAAAGAAGAAGTCAAACTATCTCTGTTTGTTGATGACATAATCATGTACTTAGAAGACTCAAAACACTCCACCAGAAATGCAATAAAATGGCAGGACACAAGATCAACTTACAAAAATCAATCACTTTGTTTTGCTCCAATAATTAATCTGCTGAAAATAAAATTGGAAGAACAATTTCATCTTCAATGGCCTCAAAAATATAAAATATTTAGCTGATTGCAGTGGCTCACACCTAATCCCAGCAGCTGGGAGTGGGGAGGCTGAGACAGGAGAATCATTAGTTCAAAGCCAGCCTCAGCAAAAGCAAGGCACTAAGCAACTCTGTGAGACTCTGTCTCTAAATAAATTATAAAATAAGGCTGGGGATATGGCTTAGTGGCTGAGTGCCCCTGAGTTCAATCCCTGGTACCCATATCTATATAATATTTGTATGCAATATTATATATAATTGTCATCACTTAATAAACGTATATTATATATTACACATGTATAATATTTAGGAATAAATCTAATCAAGGAAGTAAGATCTCTACAATAAAAATTATACAATACTGAAGAAAAAAATTAAAGAAGGCCTTAAAGAGGGAAAGTCATCCCCTGTTCTTGGATAGGCAGAATCAATATTGCTTAAATGGCCATATTACCAAAAGCAACATACAGATTTAATGTGATCTTCATCAAAATATCAAGAGTGTTCTTTACAGGGGTGGAGAAAGCAGTCCTAAAATTCATGTGGAAGAATAAAAGATCCAGAATAGTTACAGCAATATTGAGAAATAAGAGCAATTCTAAACACATCACAATACCTAATCTCTAATTATGGTACAGAGCTCTAGTAACAAACACAGCCTGGTGTTGGCATAAACACAGACATAAAGACCAACAGAACAGAATAGAAAACACGGTGACATAGATACAGTCATGTCATCCTTGGCAAAGTTGCCAAGAACATATGTTGAAGACAAGAAAGCCTTTGTAACAAGTGGTGCTGGTGCAACAGGATAGTCAAATGTAGAAGAAGGAAATTAGACCCCTATTTCTCACCTGCATAAGTCACATCAAAGTGGAGCAAAGGCCTGGAAGTTAAACCAGAAACCTGCAACTGCTGGAAGAGAACAGGCTTAACACTCCAACATGCTGGCACAAGCACCAACTTCCTTAACAAGACCCATAAAACTCAAGAAATAAAACCAAGAATCATTAATTGGAATGCCATCAAATTAAAAAGCTTCTGCACAGCAAAGAAAACAATAATGTGAAGAGAGAGCATCCAGAATGGGAGAAAATCCTTGCCAGCGATTCCTCTGATGGTATTAATAACCAAAAGAGAAAGAATTCAACTATTTAAAACCTAAAAGAAAAAGAAAACCCACTCAAAAAAAGTAAACTATTCAGCCATTGTTAAAAATAAAATTCTGCCATTTGCAACAAAATGGATGGGACTACAAGATACTATATAAAGTTAAATTATTATTAAAATATAGAAAGACAAGTATTACATGTTTTCTCTCAAACTGAAGGTAAAGTGGCAACTACTAGAACTTCAGGGGGAATTAGGGATTTCAAGATGTTTAATAAGGCTACCAAAATTCAGTTATATGGGAGGAATAACTTATGATATTACACATCAACATGGAAAAAAAGAATGAAATTAAAAGATAAAGTATTATTATAATTTATCATAAAAAAAACTCAATCTAAAAATGAGCAAAGGCTATGAATAGACTTTTCTCCCAGGAATATACACAAATATGCATAAGCCTATGAAAAGAGGTCTACATCTTTAGTTTTTAGGAAATGAAAATTAAAGCCACAGATGGTATCCACTTCATTCCTACTGGCGTAGCTATACTAAAATCAGACAGTGGCAATCAGGGCAAGGGAATGAAGGAATTGTAACTCCTAGTGGGATTATAAGTGGGTGAAGGTATATTTTAAATCAACCTAGCAGTTCTTCAAGTGATTGAACAGTTTCCAACAACTCTGTTACTAGGCAAAATATATACCCAAGAGAAATAAAAACATTCCCACATTACCCTAAGTACATGTACGACTGCACACATGGTGTGACACTACATGGTGTAACATCAGAGAAATGAAAAGTTGTGCAGCAATTGTGTACAATGCATCAAAATACAATTTGCTGTCATATATACCTCATTAAAATAAATAATTTTTAAAAATTCCCACACAAATACCTCTGCACCAATGTCCGTAGCAACATTCTTTTTAATAGCCAAAATGTGGAATAAACTCAAATATCCATTCAACTGATGAATGGGTAAAAATGTGATATATCCATATAATGATGATTGGCCACAGGAAAGAATAAATACATACTGCAACATTGATAGACCTTTAAAACATTATCCTACGAGAAAGAAGACTAATATAAAAAGTGACATATGTGATTCCATTCATATAAAATGTTCAAAACAGAGGAATCTGCCTACGGAAATACAATGTAAGTTAGTGGTTGCTCAGAAATGGGCAGGAAAGGTAGAGCTGGGGGGTAAGTAGAAGAAGAGCTAATAGATATGGGATTTCTTTTTAAAGTGATAAAAAATGTTCTAAATCTGTCAAAATGGCTGCATAGATCTGCAAGTAAACTAAATATCTCTGAATTATAGAAATTAAGTGGGTGAGCTGTGTGATATTACACTAAATCTAAATAAAGATGCTAAAAATTAATTGATTCTTGGCAAAATTTTTCAAAATCAGGAAAATAAAACATTCCCCCACTCTGGATTTTAGAAATATATATGTGATTTTTCATATATATAGTATATATGATTTATTGTCTCTGTAATTTACAGGTAATGGTCTTTTTCTAATAGTGTAACAGAAATTGTACTTCATTTCCACCTTTAAAACAGATTTATTAGGGCTGGGGCTGGAGCTCAGCGGTAGAGTGCTTGCCTGGCATGTGTGAGGCACTGGGTTCAATCCTCTGCACCACATGAAACAAATAAAAAATAAAGGTATGTGGCCACTTACAGCTTATATATATATATATATATATACACACACACACACACACACACACACATATATAAACACATACACACACAGAATTATTATTCAACAACTAGGAGCTTACAGTTGAGGAGTTTGCTTGAACGGTAGTTTCATCGTCTGATGGGAACTGATATATCTGGATGTTATTGCTGATCAATTCACTCATTATCTTACTCTTAAACTTCTGTAAGTCGTTTTTAGAAATTGTGTCTGCTTTAGCAATCAATGGTATAATGTTCACCTACAAAGAAGGAAGACAAAATTTGGCCTTGAATATTTGTTGTTCATTTTGTAGTTTTCACAGTCTAAATCTCACAGGCTCTGGAAATAAATCTGTGTAACTGCATAATCACTGGCTGTCAATTCTTCCTTACAAAATTGTTTCCCAAAGTCTCAATTTTATTTCTCTTTTAAACTCTTTTACACTTCCAACACATTTGAAGTTAGTAAAGTTTAAGCAATAGAATCAGAAGGACTGTTTACTTTGTTATCAGTTTTATTTCTTATTAAACAGAGTTAAAAAAGAGCAAGACACTTTTCATTAAAATTGAGGAAAGGATGGAATTTTCTTTTCATCTGTCAATCATGCAATCACCTACCCAATGGATACAAATTAATCAGTCTCCCATTTTTACACACTCTTGTCCTACCTATATGCCCCTGAAGATAGATTTGCTTATATTTTTTCAAACACCACATGAAAATAATGTAGATATTTTTTGGTTACCAAACTTTACTGGCCAACTTGCATGTGTGTTGGCGCGGGGGGGAGGTGGGTGGTTGTATGTGTGTGTAACAGAGAGAGAATAGGAAGACCTCACTAACAAACATGTACATTAATAATTTGCATAAAGAAATTATTTCCACATTTGAGTCAAATTTCTGCATATTTGAGTTTGAATTTTTACTTAAAAGCATTTTCCTAGTTATATAAAATGATCACAATTTTCTTCATGTATTTACATTCAAATAAATTTTGTAGGAAATAACAATATGAAAAATTCAAAAGTATATGATATTACTGTTAAAATATCTTGTTAAATCATATCTGCACATGTTAAAATCTATATAGTATAAATAAATGAATATCAGTTTTAGGTAGATTGCTTGGATTTCTCAAAGCACACCATTTTTAATTCCTGGAGAAAATCCAAGGTTTTAATATTATAACATAGATGTTCAAATTTTGGAATGGTTTCAATATGTATAAATAATATTTTCCAGAGTAAAGAGCAGATAATTGGTGGTAGATTCAAGTCTAAAGTGAAAGTTTTGGAATTGTGTTGGTAAGGAAACTTGGAAAAGACATTTTGTTGTGACAGTAAATGATCCATTTATGAAAATGGAAACTTTCTATGTCAGCAATTCCCAGGTGTTCATGTTCAGTGAAGAAAACACACTATGACACAGAGAACTTAAAGCCTGGAAGGGAACACCAGGAATGAACAGTCATCTTTACCCATCTGTTTAGCAACTGTACCTGTCAAAGCTAGAGATTTCCCGTACCTGTTTTACAGAAATAACAGATCACCACAGAGTTAAATAAAAAATGGTGTCCTAGACTATGAATGTACTTTTAATCAATAAATTGAGGAAGATCTTAATTTCAGCAGAAATTTAATTTCTTTAACTTGATGTTATTTGAGATTATATACAAAGTTTTATCCAGACTGAACAATACTTAACAAAAGTTAAGACTTTTTTAGATAAAAAGAACCCAAATTTAGGGATTTTTTCTCTGATCAGTTGGATAAAATTAAAGACACTATGTTTCACCAGAGCTGAGTGAAAAAAAAAAACTAATGAGATAGCTTCATTCATTTATATATATATATATATATATATATACACATATATATATATATAAAATCTCTATTTAAAAAATACCTTTAAATTTAATACTCTCACATAAGAATTGTACAAATAGTCAGAGAAAGAAATCAAAGTGTGGTAATTTTCCCAAAGCCACACTCATTAGCAGGGTGGGGTCAGATGTTGAAATGAAAAAGCTTTAAACCCCCACCCGTGATTTAAACCCCAGCCACTGGAGACAAGGTCACAGAAAGCTAACGAAGTAAAGCAAGTGTTTAAACCTGCACTGACCGAAAACCTGGGAGATTTATCATTTATTAATCTACTTGTGATACTGGGGGTTGAGCCTAGGGGTGCTCTGCCACAAAGCTTTGTCAACAGCCCATTTTTATTTTTTCTAATTTTGAGACAGGGTCTTGCTAGGTTGTCCAGGCTGGCCTCAAACGTGTCCTCTCACCTCCACCTCCAGAGTCACTGCAATTCCAGGTGCACACCATCAAACCCTGCTGTGAACTTGGTGTATACATTACATGTCTCCCATAAGACTACAGAGTTGTATGCTGTGGTTTTTATATTCATCTAATAAAACATTTTCCACAATTTTAAACTAAACTTATGAAAAACTAATAAATTGTTAGAGAATTTAATCAAATAAAAAGGGCTTATAAATGTCCTCAGTACTTTTCTAAAGCCTTGTGGATAAGCAGACTATTAGCATGAAGCCACATGTGTCCCAAGCTCTTGCTAGAAAAAGCATGTCTTTTTGGCTCTTTACTTCCTTTCTGATGCACACATGGACTTGCATTCTTTTTTTTTTAAAGAGAGAATTTTTTAATATTTATTTTTTAGTTTTTCGGCGGACACAACATCTTTGTTTGTATGTGGTGCTGAGGGTCCAACCCGGACCGCATGCATGCCAGGCGTGAGCGCGCTACCACTTGAGCCACATCCCCAGCCCTGGACTTGCATTCTGAATCCCCTCTGGAAATGCTTGTGTGCAGAATCATGCATGACCAGCTGCACCACTCAAAGATTACAGGATTGTTTTATACCACCACACAGTAAACTCAATTTCAAAAATGTAGGCAAGCAGACAGGATCCAAACTAGAATTTAATCACAAAAAAGGTTAACTAAAGCTTCATTTTGAGTTTTTACATACATCTCCCCTTCTATTTATGATTTTTTAATTAAATGTATATGGAACATAAACTAAAGTGGCAATTAATTAAATATTGAATTTTCTCTCCCCACTAAATGCATGTTCTGAAGCCCCAATACTCTGTACCTCAGAATGGGACTGTAATTATAGATAGAGCTTTAAGAGGTGATTAAATAAAGAGGCTGTTATGGTAGCATATAACCTGATTTGACAGATGTCCTCACAAGAAACTTGGACATACAGACGCCAGCCGAAGGATCGTGATGATCAAGAGGTGAGCTTGCCAGCCAAGAAGATAGGTTTCAGAGGAAGCAGGGCTGCTGATGTCCAGACCGCAGGGAGGGGATGGCCTCCAGGAAGGTGGAGATATGACCTTCCACTGCTTAAACCAGCCTGCAGCGTTGGGGCCTGAATCCCCCGCCAACCAGTACGAATACCTTAGAACAAAAGGCTATTAACCTGCTCTCGCATGCATTCAATATGCTTCCAAATGTCATCATCTCACAATAAACCTTAAACCTGGAAGCCCGAGGGAGATGCCCACGCACCACACCTTGCTGTCGATGCTCTTCATGGTCAGCAGGTCCAGCGACTTGAGCGAGTGCCCCGTTGGAGAGATGAAGTACAGGCACACGTGCACGCGGGTGTCGTGGTACTCAAAGAAGGAGCGCTTGATCCGCAGCTCCTCCTGAAGGAAGGCCTCGAACTGAGCATCTATGTAGTCGACCACGGGTTGGTAGCTAAAAGACAGTCATTTAGATGCAGGATCACAGAGGGAACCAACCTGATCTGCTTTCACCAGTTCATAAACAGTTAGATTTGTACTCTAAATCCTATGCTACCTTATGATCCGTGAAGAGGAGTCGGCTGGTGCAGCCCCAGGGGTGTGGCTAGGTGGTACAGGGCAGGGCGGGGGAGTCCCTAAACTCCATCCCCAGCTTCAGAAATACATTGAAAGAGCCACACTTGCTGTATGGGGAATTTAAGATAGGGCAAACTAAGTAAATAAACCAGGGTGACCCAAATAAGAAGGGAGTGAGGGAAGGATTTGGGGGCCCCATTAGATCAGGTATGTTTGGATAGGTTTAGGAAATGACACAGATATCAGAAATATTTGGGTTTTTGTTTGGAAAAAAAAAAAAAAGTACTTCCCTATGGGAAGATGAGAAAACCTGAATGAGAAGAAGGCAGAGGAATCGCCTTCCATCCTCCAGCCAAAATGAGTGTAAATGCCAGGCTACTTTTTACAGCTTTGAATTTGGGCATCCAGGTTTAATGAAATATCTATTATTAAATAAATAAAATACCAGGAATTTCCATAGTCAGGAGAGGGGATAGGGAAGAATGAAAGAATTTTGGATTATGCAGAAGGGAGTGAGAGAAGGGGGAGGAACTGTGTGAGGATGGCCTTGGGTCTGAGCCTAACAACTCCATTTTAAAAACTCCAGTTTGAAACCGGCAGTCTCACCAGGCACACCCACAGAGCCCTCCAGTACGGCCCTCAGACACAAACAAGTCATTTCCCCTATACCTGATAAACTCAAGAGTGAAGCCTCCAGCAGGCTGTCCTCACCTGATAAGAGGGAAAAGAGAAAAGAACAGGGTGGGGACCACCAGACCAGATGTTTTAACCCCAGGGTAAATGATGTCACAGAGAAATCCGGTGGTTACCGATAAGGATTGAAAGGGGAGTCAAAAGCCCCAAAATTTAGTATAAATAATAGAGAAAATGAACAGATATTCAGCCAGCCAATACTGATACACACAAGCTGGAGAGCCTGATGAGGACCTGGACTGACATCCCATCACTTGTCATCGTTTGCTGATCCTCTGCATGGTCCTCACCGCCCTCAAACTCTACAGCCACATCTTGACCCTGGTGAGAGCCACTACTTCTCCCTAGGACCACCTCCTCAGGCAGCCACCAGCTCCACCCCAAGAGAAGCCTGCCTTGGTTCCAGACCTGATCACCACGGTCTGAGTGAGTGTGCATCTGCTGGACTTAAAGCCTAAGGCTTGAGACTTTTGATCTGACACATGAATTTAGCATGGAGAAGGAAAGTCCGTCACAAGTCTGTCATGATTAAGTGTGTTTGCAATGCTTAGAATTCCTTAATCTAGAATTGTTTGCTGTGAATTAATTAATCTAGAAATGTTTGCTGGGAATTAATTAATCTAGAATTGTCTGCTGTGAAACGATTATGTCTATTGCAGTGCTTAGCATTAAGGATTGTCGTTTTCTTGATTAAGAACCTACAGATGAAATTGTATTGAGGGATTTGATGAATAAAGCATTGAAAAGGGCAAAAGCATGTGGACATTCTTTATTTCTCCCCCTCCACTGCTTAAGTTGCACCTTTTTCCCATTGCGACAGGCTGTGGGGATGGGAAAGATGGTGAAATGAGACATACATTACTACCGTGTATACATGTATGATTACACTACTGGAGTGACTCTGAACAATGTTCAGCCAGAGGAAGAAGCTGTGCCCCATTTGTGTACAATGTGTCAAAATGCATCCTACTGTCATGTATAACTAATAAAAATAAAATTTTTTTAAAAATTTTTTTAAGAAAAATAAATAAATACTAGGAATTTTATAACTGGCATGAAAACAAAAATAAAATAAAATTTATATCCTCTTTTAAAATATCAACCAAATTGTAGGAGAAATATAAAATAGAGTACAAAATACAAAAATAAAGCTATTTTATCAATAGCTTTAATTAAAGTGTAGAGAAAGGTACTGGGAAGGAAAACACAGCAAAGTAATTATGTAAGACAGCTTTATCTGAACACAGGGTAAAAACAAAAAGAATTATAAATGAATACCATATTTAGTATCTTTACATTTCATATGAAATGGACTAATAATTTTAACACTAATTTATATACACGATAATGAAGTCAGATTTAAAGATGTGTAGTTAGTGTATCTAGATAAATCGGGTCTGATACCGAGTCTAATAAAGAAAATGAAGTCAGATCTGAGCCTGGAGAAATCAGAACTACATCTGGGAGATTGAAATGTTAATGTCCCCAAGCTAAAGAACTATTAATGAAGTAGCTCCCAGCAAATAGGGAGGTGCTGATCAAATCCCCCTAGGCCCTTTCTGCCCAGGTCTCTCCCCATTGGCCCACTTATTTTCCACCTTTTGGCCTTCCCACCTGAACTCCCAACCCAGGCAGGATAGAGGGAAATAAGCAAGACACAGGACAGAAATGTAGGAAGACAAGACCTTAGATATAAAGGGATAATAGCTCAGATCCCTTTGGGGGGG